CCCCCTTCCCTTCCCTTCCCTTCCCTTCCCTCCTCTCCTGCAGTCAGTCAGACGGTCCGTGCAGCGCAGAGCAGTGCGTGGTGCAGAGGACAGAGGCTTCATGGTATTCAGCCCGGAGGAGCATTTGATCCAGGGCCAAAGGGTCACATTCAACTGCGGAATGGACAGCGTGTTTCCTGTGATGCAACCTCCCCAAACACACACACACACACACACACACACACACACAAAACCACGACCAACCACTTCTTCCCCTTCTCGATCCCTTCTCATATCTCTGCCTGTTAATCTTAAAATTCACCGCTGTGGAGAAGTTTGACCTTTGGAGTTCTCTGAATTGTCACTGAAATCATAGTCTTGAGTAGACTTGTGATACTCTTGTGGTTTACACACAGGTGGATTTGTGCAGATTGTATCACATATCATACTGAATTTATACTGACTGCCTGTTCACAACTGTAAACTTGAAAGTACGTACGTGTCATTTTAACCCTAAAAAGCATGTTTGCTTGCAAACCATTACGGCACAGGAGCAGCAGACTGAAACCACTTATCTGCTGCATAAACAACCACACATCGACAAATGTAAATCATTCTGCAATAGTACAAACAGAGGAGCCTATTGACTGGTGAAGTCACAGAGGCAGCAGATGTCTGTCAGAGGGGGTGAAGTTTTGCAACTGAAAAAGTGATCCGTTTCATTTTGAAAAGTCAGCTTTTTAAAAACCAACACGGCTCAGTTCAATAAATACCGATTATCTTAACAAGACCTGCCCAGGACACCTAACGTCAGTCAGCTCCCCCTCTGTCGTCTCAGTGGCGTCTATTCTCTCTTTTACCACTGCGGCATAGAAGTCCTAACTCACCCTACTTCTCCCTCACTCCTTCATTTATACCCTCTCCTTCACTCTGCTCCCCTCCCTCCCTCCCTCCCTCCCTTGGGTCTGGCCAACCCGTTGCATTTTCTTCTTTATTTGGTGCTGCATTTTATTTCCCGACTCTAATCCTTCAAAAATGTTATCTCCCCCCCCCCTCTGCTGACTATAAACAAACC